GACGAACCTGTACATAGACTGGGAGGCTGTCATTCCAAATGAACATGGGGATACTGAATGGTTTAAAGTCAGGAAGGGAGTGCATCAGGGTTGCATGCTTTCACCATACTTATTCATTTTCTATGTTGAGCAAATAATCTGAAAAGGTGGACTATATAAAGAAGAAGTCTGACATCAGGATTACAGGAAGATTCATTAACAACCTGTGATATGCAGATAACACAACTTTCCTTGCTGAAAGTGAGGATGACTTGAAGCACTTACTGAAGACTAAAGACTGCAGTCTGTAATACAGATTATATCTCAAAATAAAGAAAACAAAAATCCTCACAAGTGGACCAATAAGCAGCATCACAATAAACAGAGAAAAGATTGAAGTTGTCAAAGACTTCATATTACTCTACAATCAATACCAACAGAAGCAGCAATCAAGACAGCAGACGACATACTGCAATGGGCAAAATCTGCTGTCAAAGATCTCTTTAAAGTGCTGAAGAGCAAAGATGTCTTTTTGAAAACTAAGGTGCACCTAACCTAAGCCAGGGAGCTCTGGTGGCAAAGTGCCTAAGGCACTTGACTGCTAACCAGAAGGTTGGCAGTTCAAACCCACCAGCCACTCCTCGGAAGGAAGGTTGGGCAATCTACTTCCACAGAGATACCACCTTGGAAACCCAAGGAGGGGTCCATGTGAGTCAGAGACGACTCGATGGCACATAACAACCACCACCACCACCTAACACGTGTATTTTTCCATCGGCTCATATGCATGTTAAAGCTGGACAATGAATAAGGAAGACCAAAGAAGAACTGATGCTTTTGAGTTGCAGTGGTGGAGAAGAATACTGAAAGTACCATGGACTGCCAAAAAACTAACAAATCTGTCCTGGAAGAAGTGTAGCCAGAATGCTCCTGGGAAGTGAGAATGGCCAGACTTTGTCTCACCCACTTCAGTCATGTTGCCAGAAGAGATCATTCCCTGAAGAAACATGTCATGTTTGGTAAAGTGGAGGGTGAACAAAAAAGGGGAAGGCCCTCAATGAGATAGACTGACACAGTGGCTGCGACTATGGGCTCAGGTATCACAAGAATTGTGAGGCTGGCACAGGACCGGGCAGTTTTATTCTGTTGTACGGAGGGTTGCTATGAGTTTTAGCCAATTCAATGGCACCTAACAACAACAACAACAATTTATGGCATAAATAGACTGTCAAGCATAAACCAAAATGCACAAACAGCAGAAAATAAACTAGACAAATTGGACCTTCTAAAAATTAAATTTTCTCCAAAAGAGTAAAAAGAGAATTTACAGATTGTAAAAAAAAAAAAAAATTATTTGTCAACAACGTATCTCACAAGGGACTTAGCTCTAAAATTTATAGAAAACTCCAACACCTCAACAACAAAAAGAAAAACAATACAATTAAAACACAGACAGAAGATATGAAAAGACACTTCACCAAAGAGGATATTCAGGCGGCCAACAAACACATTAAGAAATGTTCACAGTTGTTAGCCATTAGAGAGATGCAAATCAAAACAACAATGAACTAGCATCTTGCCCCAGCATCAATAGCAAAGTTCAACAAGACAGAAAATAAGAAATGCTGGTGAGGATGTGGAGAGATCAGGAATTTCATGCTGTTCATGGGACTATAAAATGATACAACCACTATGGAAAGCTGTATGGCGATTTCTTAAAAAGCTGGAATTAGAAATACCATTTGATCCAGCAATCCCTATAAAAATGAGAGCCAGGATAAGAACAGATACATACCCACCCATGTTCATCGCAGCACTATTTACAATACCAAAAAGATGGAAACAACCTAAGTGCCCATCAACAGAAGAATGAATAACCAAACTATGGTACATACATACAATGAAATGCTATGCAACACTAAATAATAATGTAGAATCTGTAAAACACCACCTAACATGGATGAACCTGGAAGACATTATACTGAGTGAAATAATCACAGAAGGACAAATACTATATTAGTTCATTATTGTAAAAAGTTGAGGAAAGTTTTATGTATGGAACGAAACTTTCTTTGTTGGTTACCTGGAGTGGGAGGGGAGGGAAGAGAACACTGCTAGATAGGTAGAGACAAGTATTGATGTGCGTGAAGGGAAGGACAATGTACCAGATGTGAGTGATCAACATGGTGGCACTGAGGAAGACAAAGACATACAGAGGGACATGCGAGGTTTAGACAACAAAGATGAACCTTTTGCACATACAACACTGCGTTTTCAGTGATGGCAAGTATTGATCTACAGGTAGACAGATTGGTGGACAGGCTGAACAATCAGGTATGTCTAGGCACGGGGCAGTGTGCCTGTGACCATATATAGGTTTGGCAGATGATGTTTCTACAAGAGTACTTGTATGTACTGTAAGAATGTCCAAGTAGAGCTGACAAGGGACAAGGTTGTAGTCATTTCTTGGTCACAGCCAGCTACCCAGAAAAACCGAGTAGTTGAACTGGTAGGCTTGGGACCACAGTCACAGGGGACATCAAGCTCAATTGGCATAACATACTACATAAAACATTGTTCCATCTCCTACTTTGGCAAGTAGTGACTAGGATCTTGAAAGCTTGCAAGCAGCCATCTAGATGCAACAATGGGTCTCTCCTTGTCCAGAGCAAAGAAGAATGAAGAAAACCAAAGATTCATGGAAACAATTAGTCCTAGCGACTGGTACACCATGCGATCCGCAGTCTATACAACTATGAGATCAGAAGAACTAGATAGTGCCCGGCTACCACTGTCAACCATTCGGATGGGGATCTACCTAGGAGATCCTGGATATAGAGGGAAAACAATGTGGAACAAAACTCAACATCATTTGGAAAAAAAAGGGGGACCATATTTGCTGGTCTGATAGAGCCTGGTGGAACCACTGATACTATGGCCCCTAGCTGCCCTTCAGGTCTAGAACTGAACCCACACTTGTGGCTTCCAGCCAAACAAAAGACAGGCATATGAGTTGAACATTTACTTGAGGTAAATACACTCCTTAGAGAGAACAATCATTGGAGAAAGAAGGGCTGTTTATGCATGGGGGACAGCTCAGAGGGCAGGAGTGCATGGAAGAATGGACACAGGGAAGAGGTAACTAACAGGAGGAAGTGGAAGGGGAGCTGTTGCAATGTGGTAAACTGTAGTCAATGTCATGAGACAAAGTATATGTGAACTGCTGCATGGAAAGTGAATTTGCTCTGTAAATTTTCACCCAAATCACAATTAAAAAAAAAAAAAAGAAAGAAAGAAAAACTACAATCATGTAGATAATTCTGATACTGAGGACTAAGGATGGAGATGAGGGTGGGAAGACATCCCCCACTAAATATAAGAGCTCAGCTGTCATACCAAGTCCTTTTCAGCTCTACACAGAATATGTTCCGAAAGGGAAAGCTACTGCTCTGTCAACTTGGCACCTGTACAGATCTTCAATGGGTGGCATCTGTACATATCTCCTTCACCAGGTGGCTCCAGTCCCCTAGTTCCTCTGAGTGGCGACCTCACTCCCTTGGCCTGGCAGGCCCCGTTCCTCTATCTCTTGGGTATGCCAGCCCTGCCCCCTCACTCTTGGGCAGCAGCTATGGCTTCATCCCACTGGCCCACATGAATGAGCAGCCCCACACTCCAGAACCGAGTTGATGAAGGTCTGACTCTTTGAAACCTAGGAGGCTGTGGTGGTTCTATCCCCAAAAGCCATGGTCCTACCCTTAAGGCTGAGGAAGCTCTGCTCCTGATTTCCTTGCTCACTCTGCTTCTGCCAATTAATGCCAAAGGCAACCAACTCTACCAGAAATCTTCCTGCCCAAAAAGCACTCAGCTTTCTTGCTCTGTGGGCCAGCCAACCTGCTACTCCATTTCATGCTGATCTCTTCTACCAATTAACGCTCGAGGGCAATCCACTCCTACAGAGAGCTGCCTACCCAATGGCATCCAGCTTTCTCCTCCATGGGCTGGTAAGGATATTGCTCTCATGTCAATCTTTGGGCTCTGCTACTGCCATCTCTCATGCTGGTCTCTCTGCTGGTGTTTGTTACGGTGGTCTCTCTGCCAGTGTCTGCTGGTGTCTTTGTGCTGGTGTTTCAGCGCAGGGATCTCAGGTCAAGTAGGCACTACACTCCTATGTCCACATTTTAGTTATCTGTCAGAGCAGCACCCCACTCTCTCGGTACCATATTCTGTTTTGGTTACCTCTGTGGTGCTCTAATAAAAAATACCACAAATGGAATGGCTTTAACAAACGGGTTTATTCTCTTACAGTTTGGAGGCTATAAGTCTGAATTCAAAATGTCAGGCTCTAAGGGCTGAGTGAAAACCCCTCAATCGTGGGCTTTAGCTCTGCCTCCTACTCCTGGCCCCTTGAAGCTGGAGGCTTTTCTTCACTCAGATAGCTGCTGGCCACTGAGACTGACAAACCTAAGGTCGACAAGTAACAAGGCACAGTACCCATGTTATCAAACAACACAGCAGGGCATTCATTCAAGTCCATTGAAAGTCCCAAGACTGGCAGAACATGGCAGACTGCTGAACAACAACATGGCTACATACAGGGTTCAAGTGTGCCATAAGCTAGAGACTGTTCCCAAGGCTTCTCCTTATATATGGGAAGCAGACCACAGCCCTAAAGCAGCTACTCAGCTGTTTGTGGTAAATCCCACCATAGAGGTGATTGCCAGTCTCATCATGGCAAATAAGTACTACCAGCTGCCCAGCCACTTAACCAGGCCCAGCCAACTTGACACACAACCTTAACTACCACATTCTGGTCATGTACTTCTACCTACTTGTGCTAAAGGCTGATGACAAAGAATAACACTGATCTTACACCAATTACTAAACAGATCACTTGAGGTAAGAAACTAAATGCCACACTGTCAAAGAGCAGTGCTTCATTAGATTCTGTCCAAACCTAAAGCACGATTTTCTTTCTTCTTCAACACACACACACAGAAAATGACCAAAAGCACTCATATTACCTTGTTAACTTTCACACCATTTTTCGGAGTTTGCTTTGTTGCTAGATTATATCCAATCATCTGTTTAGCCAGCTGTTCCACAACTTTAGGGCTACAGAGAGAGAAAGAGATAATAGTTAATTTTATTTCCAAGTTAAAAACCATTTTAAAGCAGTGTCTATTATACCTATTTCCATACTGCACAGGGTCCACCTCCATCCTCACTTAATCTGTGTGTCTTCCTGCTCATATAATATATTGTAGTAGAAGCTAACAGAGGTGGGAAAAATGAATGAATGAGTGAACACATGAATGAAATATATGATGCTTGTTTACCTTTGCTATTCTTTCCCCCAAATAAGTTACATTCATAGTAAAGAGACAACACTACATTGCATAACAGATGTAGATAAGATATGAAAAAATAACGAAGACCTGATTGAAGGTAATTTGCAAAGTACTGAACAATGAGAGGGCTAAGAGAAGGAGTAAGGACCAAACTAAATAATATGATAAGTTATGTGACAGGAACAAGGAGAGGAAGAAAGTGTTTGGTGCTTGGAGACATGGGAGATAAAGTTGAAAAGATAGGCTTAGATAAAAGGAAGGCTTGGACTATCAGACAGGATACAATGATGCCAAGTTCTTGAGTAGCAGAGTGAGGTTATGGAAATAGAAATTAATTTGCAAGTCATATCATTCCTAATACTAATGATAAGTCATTAGTTGTCTAGGAGAAGAAGAGTGTTTACTTTGAACAAATTAGGAAAGAAAAATCCATTGAGAGAAAGAAAAATGGACATTGCCAGAGCCCACTACCTGTAATGTCTGTTCCCTGCACTTGCTGCCTCCTGCTCCTACCTCATCCCAACTGTCTTCCTTAGTGCTCCTTTCAATCATGAATAAGATCTTCCATAATGGCTTGGCCCCAAAAAAGGAATTTATGTCTCTAGACTTACTCTTTTGTTAAATGAACGCCTCCTTTCAGCCCACTATTGAAGACTCCTTTTCCTCTTCCTCCTGCTAAGATCTGAGCTTTTAAAACAATTTCTTTTGCATCTGAAAAAGAAATATCCATAGTAGCTGATTTTAAATTCTCTTTTTCTCCCCCCCAAAGCACAAGGAAAGCAATAATAACATAACTTCCAAACTTGACTAGTAAAAGCTCTCAAACCAACTTTGAAAATAAAGGCAATAAAGAATTTCAAAAGCATCCATGTGCCTAAATGCAAAGCTTGTTTGCGTGTTTACTGAGAACACTCAAATGCCTCCATTTGGTTTAATCAGGTATACTTGACCATCCCAGGGGAATGGAAGGCATATGTTCTTTGCACTCAATAAGAAAAAAAGATGCTAAATAAATTCAGAACAGAGGTATTAATTTTACTGTGTAGTGACATTCTCATGTGGCAGAGGCACCAATCTGCCAGTCAGAGGAACTAACTACCTGTCACCTACCTGAGATGTCAAAGGGAAGACTGGATTATGTGGGAGAAAAGTTTTAAAGACAAAAGGCAAAGCAGTATTTAGTGATTCTATTCATGGAAACCAACAGTTTTCTGAGCAGTTGTTCCATATGTTGATAGGGTTGCATAAGGAAAGAGAAAGTAGATTAAAACTAAAAGCAAGCAATATTTTAAAAATTTGCAAGGTTACAAAACATTCCAGTGGACATGGACTGTGGAATCTCCATTTTTAAATGTACTCAAGGAAAGAGTAAACTGCTTATTCTTGACATTTTAAACCAAAGTCATAAACTCAAGTATTTATGGTCCTGGGAAGACACCTGGGCAGGTGAAACAGATTAGGGTCACCTGGGGCCTCTAAAACAGGAGAGATCACATCCACAACCACCAAAAAAAAAAGGGAGGGAGCAAGTCCTAAAGTCAATTATGTTCAAAAACCAAACCATGTACATCTTCGAGTCTGAGCTGGCATCCTCTGTATGTGATGAATCCTTTTATAAAGAAGAGAACTAAACTAACCATTATCTCTACCAGTTGCTATCAAGTCAATCCTGATTCATAATGACTCCACATATGTCAGAACAGAATTGTGCTCCATAGAGTTTTCAGTGGCTCTGATCTTTCCAAAGCAGATCACCAGACATTTCCTACAGCGCCTCTGTATGGATTTGAGCCAACAACCTTTTCATTAGTAGCTGTGCATTTAACTGTTTTTGCTACCCAGGGACTCCTAATAATCTTCCACAACGCAACAGTAGTTTTCTGGTTCAGCACATCAGGTTTAGATTCTGCAAATCTGGGTTTCAATCTGGCCTACATCCGTTACCTGTGTGACATTCATAATTTACTAAATGTCTCTGAACCTCAGTTTACTGAATTATGTAATACTCAGGAGAATTATTTAAAAAACTAAATGATAATGCATGTGAATGCTTTATTCCAGGGTCTGAATACTCATATGATTAAAGACTACTGCAACCATCATGAGTAGTTCTGGTGGTGCAATAGTTAAGCCATTTGACTGCTAACCAAAAGGTCAGTAGTTTGAACCCAACAGCCTCTCCACAAGAGAAATATGAGAGACTGTCTGCTTCTGTGAAGATCTGCAATCTTGGTAACTGTATGGGGCAGTTCTACACTGTCCTATAGGGTCACTATGAGTTCCAATCAACTCAATGGCAGTGGGTTTGTTTTTGGTTATTGCCACCATCAATAAATTTATTTATTGTCTATGTATATTGTAAAGAATCAAAAGGACCATTTCCACTAAGGCAGAGATAGTAACAAAACTACCATTTGTTGGGTTCTTAATATCCAACACCACTTACGTAAGTGAGAGTTCCATAACTGCTGCCTGTTTCAGCTATGACTGTCATTTTGACACTTATGGGAAGTACTGTTACAGGCAAACAGAGAGAAAGAGCCACAAGAGGTTTTATCCTGAAGGCAATGGAGAGCCACAGAAGGATTTTACACTATGGAGCACTAGATCAGATGGTCACCCTGCTGATGTAGTTACACAGTGTTAAGGCTGACTGTCTTTACTGATTGGCTTTCCTTTCCCCAATATTTGCTATTTCTTTACATTCAAAAAACCAGGGCCTACAAGCCTCTCAAAAACAAGCACAGTTCTTCTTTGCTGCCCTCTACACCCCATAACACCAGTTGCTGCCCTGGAAATGAACCATCCTAACAGCAGTCAAACTGTGACTTAAACTTGTTCCCATAAAACTGAGTGGAAGATTAGCCATGATCTCTGTTCAGTATCAGAAAATCACCAGGAAAGAAACAAAACAGTGAATTTTGCATATTTAGGTTACTGTATATAAGGGGACAGTTAAGAACAAGAACTTTGGCATTATACAGTCCTGGGATAAAACTTACAAGTCCACCTATCACTTTCTTTATAGAGGAGAATAAAACTCAGAAAGGGTAAAGTAGTATGCTGGTCTGTTACATGGTGAAAATAAAGCAATCTATGTTTTGATGCTAATGGTAAAAATAAATAAAATATATATAAATTGCTTAGCTCAATGACTGGCATATTAAAGAAACAGCAAAAAATGATAGCTATCATCATTATGAGCTCAGTGCCACAGCGGTTAAAGCATTCTGCTGCTAACCAAAAGGTAGGTGGTTTGAACCCAGCAGCCACTCCGTGTGAGAAATATGAGGGAGTCTGCTTCCATAAAGATTTACAGCCTTGAGGAGGTTCTCGAAAGATGGTAGACTAGGCAGAAAGACTGCACAGACCCTCTGCAACAAAAAAAGTGAAACCAATTAACACAGATACAGAAGATAATCCTGGACCCCTGAGCCTTGAAGGGAAGGATATAGAAGTGGACTGAACCCCAACTAGCAGAAGAATTTGAGTGAAAATACCAAAAAAGGAGACATACGGAGCTGCAGTCTGGCAGCAATCCTGAGCGAGCCTGACAGCACAGACAGCTTGGAGATTCCCGAGTGGTGGTAGGACCTAAGAATTAACCTAAAAATCACCCTGCTAGCCAGGAATTGCACAGAGGACTGTGCACGGTGGCAGGGGAACAAACGGAGAAGGTGAATAGAAAGGTGGGCTGAGCTGTGGACTTCTGCCAGTCTGGAGGCACTGCCATTTTGAAGGTTTAAAAAGTGGCTTAACTATTTTGAATATTTAAAGAGACAGCGCTCTTGCAGATTCCTGGTGCATAAGAACACGTTCTGCTTTCCAGCAACCCCAAGGACACTCGGGACCTACAAGACTGACAAGGTACAACATTCCTTTTGTTACTCTTATACCCCACACCCTCTTGGTGAAAGGAGGTGTGGCCTACAGGAACTCCATCACAGTCTGTGTGCTCAGACAGAGACTGGGTGCCCTGCCCTGTCCTCCACCGATTTTTTTTTTCCTCTTTTTTTATTTTTATCTTTTCCTTTTTCACTGTCTTTTTTCTGGTGATTAGTTTGCTTGCATTTGTCTGTTTTAAAACAACTAATATTATTAATACATTTGTCCTTTTTATTATTATTCTTAATATTCCCCTCCTAGGTCCTAGTTTTCAGCATTTTTTCTTTTCCCTGTCCCTGGTTGAAAATTTTTTTTTTTTTTTTAATTTAAGGATTTTTTTTTTTTCTTTCCCCCTTTTTTCTCATGATTAACCCTGTTCCTTGTTTTTCTTTTTGCATTTTTCCCATTTTTTTTTCATTTATTATTCTCCTTCCCTACTTTTTTTTCTTAGTACCTTATCCCCATATATTGCAGGTTTTCTTGTTTTTTATTCTTTTTTTCCCTTTTTTTCTTTTTTTGAATACTGTTCCTATGTGATTACATGGTGTGTTTTTCATCCACGGGCTTTTAGTTTTTTGATGGTTATTCAATTGTAATTTATGTCTAACTGAGTAGGAAACAACAGTCCTCATAAGACACAACTACATCCACACCTCCTGCAACTTCAATTACTGAGTGAAAGCCACTACCTCCTTCTCCAACAACAGGCCAACGATAAAAAACCACCAAGAAGAGCCTGAATCACCCTTGGCTGCTCTTCACAAACAGTTAACAGAGATCTAAATACAACAACGCCACGATGTCTCGGAAACAACAGACCATCACAGTCCACACAAAGAAGCAGGATAAAGTGGTAGAAACAAAGGAGCAGGATAGAGATCCAGAACATATCCTTGAGGAATAAGCAGCATTGGAACTCTCTGATAAGGAATTCAAAAGAATTATCTTAAGGTATCTTCAAAGGATTGAGAGACAGACCAAAGACAGAAAAAACCTTAGAAGAATTTTGGAAGAAAATACAAGAACAAAATGACAAAATAAATGAAAAATCAGAAATGATTCTAAATCTACAGACAGAAATACAGAAGATTAATACTAAATTGTCAGAAATAGATAACACATTGGAAGGGCAAAGGAGAAGAATTGATGCGATGAAAGACAGAATTAATGAGATGGAAGAAAAATACCTGAATGCTTCTTTGGAAAAGGATAAATCAGAAAAAAAATCAAAACAAAATGAAGAAAGCCTAAGGTTCATGTGGGATACCATCAAAAGGAATAACTTACGTGTCATTGGAATTCCAGAACAGGAAGAGAAAAAAATAAAACCACTGAGAAAATTGTCCAAGATTTGCTGGAGGAGAACTTCCCTGAAATGATGAAAGATGAGAATATATCCATTCAGAAAGTCCAACGAACCCCAAACAGGACAGACCCCAAAAGAAAATCACCAAGACACATCATCATCAAACTCATCAAAACCAAAGACAAAGAAAGAATCCTGCAAGCAGCATGGGAAAAACAAAAAGTTACCTACAAAGGACAGGCAATAAGAATAAGCTCTGATTTCTCAGCAGAAACCATGCAAGTGTGAAGACAATGGGATGGTATATATAAAACCCTGAAAGAGAAAAATTTTCAACCAGAATTATATACCTGGCAAAACTGTCCCTCAAATATGATGGTGAAATTAGGAGATTTCCAGATAAGCAGAAACTAAGCAAATTTATTAAAACCAGACCAACCTTACAAGAGATGCTAAAGGGAGTCCTCTGAACAGAGAACCAAAAATAGCAAATAACAACCGACCATTAATACACTAGATG